CTAGGCCCCGGTTCCCAGCTCTCTCTCTCTCTCCAGTTTCCAGATCTCATCTATGTAGATGCTGTCTGGACTTGACATGCGTAATTGCCAGTGTTGGGGAATAGTGAACTATATGTAGTTCAACTAGTAATTAATCTGGGGTGACAGGTAGCCTAGCAAAAATATGTTGCTGGTTCAAGTCGACTAGGTGAATAATCTGTCGATGTGCTCTTGAGCAAGGCACTTAACCCTAATTGCTCCTGTAAGTTGCTATGGATAAAAGTGTCTACTAAAATGTAAACTACATTTGGTGGTAGTTGAACTAAATTAAAATGTTGTTTTCAGTAGTTAATTACTTGTTTGCCATGTAGCGGTGTAGCTAACTACTGGAACTACACTACTCGTTTTACAAAAAGAGAAGAAAATAGGCTATATTTTTCTTTATTTTTCGGTATCAGTCCTGCCTAATTCTCATTTGAAACATTGTTTTTGTGTTTAATAGGCTAAATTACACATTCTGTTAACACCTGACCCCAGAGTTGTCTGTTCTTGCAATTTGTAGTCTATGACATTTTAGATATGATAATTTTTCCCGAAGTAGCTTCCCACTGGGCACACACTGGTTGAATCAACGTTGTTTCCACGTCATTTCAATTACATTCTAGTGTTAAGTAACTGTTATACTGAACAAAAATATAAACGCAACAAAAAGAGTAGGGGTGTGGATCAGAAAATCAGTCAGTATCTGGTGTGACCACCATTTGTGTCATGCAGCGCAACACATCTCCTTCGCATAGAGTTGATCAGGCTGTTGATTGTGGCCTGTGGAATGTTGTCCCACTCCTCTTCAATGGCTGTGCGAAGTTGCTGGATATTGGCGGGAACTGGAACACAGTCGTACACGTCGATCCAGAGCATCCCAAACATGCTCAATGGGTGTCATGTCTAGTGAGTATGCAGGCCTGGGACAATTTCAGCTTCCAGGAATTGTAACATGGGGCCGTGCATTATCATGCTGAAACATGAGGTAATGGCGGCGGATGAATGGCACGACAATGGGCCTCAGGATCTCATCACGGTATCTCTGTGCGTTCAAATTGCCATCGATAAAATGCCATTGTGTTCGTTGTCCGTAGCTTATGCCTGCCCATACCATAACCGTACCGCCACCATGGGGCACTCTGTTCACAACGTTGATATCAGCAAACCGCTCGCCCATATGACGCCATACATGTGGTCTACAGTTATGAGGCCGGTTGGACTTTCTGCCAAATTCTCTAAAACGACGTTGGAGGCGGCTTATTGTAAAAAAATAAACATTACATTCTCTGGCAACAGATCTGGTGGACATTCCTGCAGTCAGCATGCCAATTCCACGCTCCCTCAAAGAGAGAAATACGTTTTCTTGAAAATTTCTGGGATCTTTTATTTCAGCTCATGAAACATGGGACCAACACTTTACATGTTGCATTTATATTTTTGTTCAGTGTAGTTTGGTAAACTATGATTTCAGAGTAGCTTCCCCAACACTGGTAATTGCTGTCATTTAAACATTGGACGGTAGGCTCCTGAACCCAAATGTCCTCCACCTTACTTCTTGTATTATGTTAATGGTCTCAGCTCCATTGTATTCACAGGCATGGAGAGTGATATCAGAGTTACATGTATGAGTCCAGTGGTGTTTCATTCATCTGATAAAGACAAGCAGGGACTAAGCATAGAGCAAGTAACAATGCAGTGCTGGGGGTCAGGGTCAGGGAAGATGGCTGGAGAGGTATGGGCTATTTCCTTTAGACAGACATATTCATGACTCTCTGCTCTTAAGTTACAGGACTGCTTAAATTATTTCCAATTGGCTTCAGAACAAAATAATGAGAAATCTGCGAGAGAGTGAGCTAGACGGAATGTTCATTAAATCGTTATTTTTTAGTGGACGAAACAGTGATATGGGGAAATGATCGACAGGTAGTTTGGGAATTGAAAAATGGTCCAAAGCTCCTGTCTGTTATCAGTAGGAGACTCCTGCTCAGACTCCTGCTCAGACTGTTAACCAATGTCTCATACCAAACAAAATGATTTTCAATTTTTTTTAAACTGTTTGATATTTGCCAGGTCGCATTGCAATTTATTACTAATCCAAGCTGTCATAAATAGATTTTTCTTCCCATTATAAAATCTTAAATGAGTTTTAAGAAGTTGTGTAAGTGAATGATGTGAATTCATACCTATGTCTCTCTATGTTCCTTCTGTTCCCAGACATTGACGAGTGTTCTTTTGACCGGGCGTGTGACCATTCCTGTGTCAACTCCCCCGGCAGCTTCCAGTGCTTCTGTCATAAAGGCTATGTTCTCTACGGTCTGGCACATTGTGGCGGTAAGGTGACACTTATCCCCCCTCTCCAGGTCTCTGTACACCATTACTCACCCAGTCCACCACACTTTCTCTAGACTTGCCTGCTAAGTTATCCCTTGTAACTTGAATATTAATTAGCATTTTGTGTAGTCTGTTTGTATGGCTCCCTAGCCCATATTGCTCACCAGACCAGTCAGTCTAATGCTAGCAATCCCAAGTTGGAGGAAGACTGATTTAGCCTTGATTTAGTGACATGAGTAGTACACAGTAGCACACATGACTCCACCTGTTGCACTAAAACAAACAATTATTATAAGAGGTATGTGCTTGATGCTGTGGTAAAGTTGAGGTAAAGTTGATCTATTCCAGTGTGGTAGAGGAGGCAGTCTCGTGTTCCAGGCGGCTGTTGTGTGCCAGATCTGCAGTGCAGAGAGAGAGAGGGACCCGTTTGAGCACATCAGGCTGTTTCAGCTGCCCTTTGATGGTCTGTGTATCACGAGTCTGAATCTGATGCTGTCTCCAGAGACTTCTCAGAGGAGGGTCTCTCAGAGGAGGTGTAGGACATAGAGAGTGAGAGTGAGAGAGATAGAGATAGAGAGAGAGAGACCGATAGAAGAGAGGAGAGAGGAGACAGAGAGAGAGAAGAGAAGAGTGAGAGAGAGAGAGAGCACGAGAGGATAGCAGAGATAGCATTAACAGGATATCGAGAACAGAGAGATATAGCTTTAATAGAGAGAGGATTTTATATATATATATTTTGTATAAGTATATACAATGAGGATGGATGATACCTAGAGGTGAACAGATCCTAGACAGTCATCGGATAAGATCTGGATAGTCATCATCAAGAAATGGAAATTCAGTGTAGGATCAATAGACATGCTCACGGAAAATAGAGATGGAACGATTAGATCGTACTTGACTATCGCTTTGTGAGTCTCTCTTCACTACTACTGCTTTTCTCCTCCTTCTTAGGCTCTGATATGAGTTGGCAACGGCTAGCAATGCAGCCATCTCTGGTGCTCTCTTTGACTTTAGGGCCATCGAATCGTGTCGCCAGTGCTCGCTGCCTCGCGCATCGCTCGCCACTAGCCAGAAGCCGCGTTCGTGAACTCCCCCTCCCATTAGATCCTTCTGAACGAACTATAGGGAACCGGAGGATGTTGCTGCGCCCTGCCCGCCTCCCTCTCAAGCATACCTCGTTTGCTCTCTCCCCGCCTCGCTCTTTCAGCTATCTGCCCAAACCTCCTCTACTGCTCTCGCCTGCTTACTGCCTTCCGAGCTAACATCCCCATAGTCATACCTGACTGTACACGACAAACAATAGTTGTTATTTATTCCCATTTGTTATGTTGAAAGTCTCCAATCGGGAGATGCATTCCCGTGTACAAATGGCCTCAAACGGCTCTGAAACCACCCCTTTTCTTATAGGTCTGAGAAGTTGCTACCCCTTGAGCCATTTTTTTCCCCAGACTTTAGTGTGGAACAAGGACCTGCTCAGTGCAACATGGGCTATCCCCTTAGGCATACTGGAGGATACCTGTATCTCGCTGGAAAAATTATTCTGTTATCATATTAAATTCAAAAAATTTTAAAATTTTATTCAAAAACCCTTTTTAAATTCTTTTCTTACCTTTAACAATATGAGAACTCATAAGATAGACTAACAATTGATATATATACTGATTGGACGTATATGTCATGGTAGAAACGATACTAGTACGTCTTCTCTACTTTGTCACTTCCCCTGAAAATGTCGATGCCGAATTGTGAGACCGATAAGCTAGTCTTATACTTTCCAGGTTACCACTGTTAGAAGCTATTTCACGAAAGTTGCCTAAAGATGTGTGTGATCTGTGTGCTTCTAGAGAAGCCTGCGGTGTGAATTCTCTCCCCTCCTCCTGTCGAATGTAGTAACCTGGATTATGTGCCTGCACTTTCCACGCAGTAACCAAGGTTGTGTTATTCCCCGCTGTAGCTTATCAGTGAATATAGCTGCCAAACACTCCAGAGACTGCTGCTCAGTGCTTAACAATGGGCTCACCCTAAACAACCCCTATTAGGTCAGTGACCTGCTGCCAAGGAAAGTGTGGAGGCCTGTCATCACTGGCTTCCGCTGACATCTGAGAGACTACCCTGACTGAGACATTAGGAAAACCACATGGTAGAGTTACACTGTGGCGTTAAAGTGAGAGAGGCATGATATGAGGTATAGAGTAGATGTTACTGTCTGATTATTCCATCTGAATGAATCAATATGTTGTTTATATAAAACCAAGTTGATATTTGATCATTAGAATACAACTTATATATGTGTTCTATTTGACTTGGTTACAATCACTTGATTATTGAGTAGACTTAAGAAGACAACGTACCCCGTTCTAGCCAACAGCCCTAGATCTATGCTCTACAGACATGGTGCCCTCTGTTTACTGTTGACTTTCACAGTCAAACTGTGATTAGCCTATTCTACAGCCTCTCAGTCTCACCGGAGTCTGGGGCAGAAGAATGTGTGTCTGCGTGCCGGGGAGATGACAGGTATTGATGCCTATTGAAGAAAGCAAGTGCCGGCGGGTAAGCTAGCTCATTTTCATGTTTCTTTTTGTTCCCCCTGGAGTTGGAGTAATGCCTTTGACACTAGCGGATGATAGCAGCCACAGACAATAATGATGCATGAGGTCAGCATTCATGTCAAGTTGAAAGTATTTTTCTTCTCTCTCTTTGACTCTCCCTTCTTATGATCCCATCCCACATTGGCCTCTGGGATAAATGAGTTGATTTCCTGTGTGCAAACAAAAACAAAAACAGACAGAGCTAGCTCTAGAGAGGGGTTGACAAAGTTTTACTCAAAGTCTTTTCACATTTCAAACTTGAGAAGAAAAATAGAAAAACACTTGGTTGGCAGTCAATCCCTTTTCTCCTCTCTCTCTCAATTTCAATTCAATTCAATTCAATTCAATTTAAGGGCACTATTGGCATGGGAAACATATGTTAACATTACCAAAGCAAGTGAAGTAGATAATAAACAAAAGTGAAATAAACAATAAATATTAACAGTAAACATTACACTCAGAAGTTCCAAAAGAATAAAGACATTTCAAATGTCATATTATGTATATATACAGTGGGGAAAAAAAGTATTTAGTCAGCCACCAATTGTGCAAGTTCTCCCACTTAAAAAGATGAGAAAGGCCTGTAATTTTCATCATAGGTACACGTCAACTATGACAGACAAATTGAGAAAAAAAAATCCAGAAAATCACATTGTAGGATTTTTAATGAATTTATTTGCAAATTATGGTGGAAAATAAGTATTTGGTCACCTACAAACAAGCAAGATTTCTGGCTCTCACAGACCTGTAACTTCTTCTTTAAGAGGCTCCTCTGTCCTCCACTCGTTACCTATATTAATGGCACCTGCTTGAACTTGTTATCAGTATAAAAGACACCTGTCCACAACCTCAAACAGTCACACTCCAAACTCCACTATGGCCAAGACCAAAGAGCTGTCAAAGGACACCAGAAACAAAATTGTAGACCTGCACCAGGCTGGGAAGACTGAATCTGCAATAGATAAGCAGCTTGGTTTGAAGAAATCAACTGTGGGAGCAATTATTAGGAAATGGAAGACATACAAGACCACTGATAATCTCCCTCGATCTGGGGCTCCACACAAGATCTCACCCCGTGGGGTCAAAATGATCACAAGAACGGTGAGCAAAAATCCCAGAACCACACGGGGGGACCTAGTGAATGACCTGCAGAGAGCTGGGACCAAAGTAACAAAGCCTACCATCAGTAACACACTACGTCGCCAGGGACTCAAATCCTGCAGTGCCAGATGTGTCCCCCTGCTTAAGCCAGTACATGTCCAGGCCTGTCTGAAGTTTGCTAGAGTGCATTTGGATGATCCAGAAGAGGATTGGGAGAATGTCATATGGTCAGATGAAACCAAAATATAACTTTTTGGTAAAAACTGTTTTTCTGCAAAGGGACCAGGACGACTGATCTGTGTAAAGGAAAGAATGAATGGGGCCATGTATCGTGAGATTTTGAGTGAAAACCTCCTTCCATCAGCAAGGGCATTGAAGATGAAATGTGGCTGGGTCTTTCAGCATGACAATGATCCCAAACACACCGCCTGGGCAACGAAGGAGTGGCTTCGTAAGAAGCATTTCAAGGTCCTGGAGTGGCCTAGCCAGTCTCCAGATCTCAACCCCATAGAAAATCTTTGGAGGGAGTTGAAAGTCTGTGTTGCCCAGCGACAGCCCCAAAACATCACTGCTCTAGAGGAGATCTGCATGGAGGAATGGGCCAAAATACCAGCAACAGTGTGTGAAAACCTTGTGAAGACTTACAGAAAACGTTTGACCTGTGTCATTGCCAACAAAGGGTATATAACAAAGTATTGAGAAACTTTTGTTATTGACCAAATACTTATTTTCCACCATAATTTGCAAATCAATTCATTAAAAATCCTACAATGTGATTTTCTGGATTTTTTTTTCTCATTTTGTCTGTCATAGTTGACGTGTACCTATGATGAAAATTACAGGCCTCTTTCATCCTTTTAAGTGGGAGAACTTGCACAATTGGTGGCTGACTAAATACTTTTTTTCCCCACTGTACAGTGTTGTCACAATGTGCAAATAGTTAAAGTACAAATGGGAAAATAAATAAACATAAATATGGGTTGTATTTACAATGGTGTTTGTTCTTCACCGGTTGCCCTTTTCTTGTGGCAACAGATCACAAATCTTGCTGCTGTGGTGGCACACTGTGGTATTTCACCCAGTAGATAAGGGAGTTTATCAAAATTGGGTTTGTTTTCAAATTCTTTGTGGATCTGTGTAATCTGAGGGAAATGTGTGTCTCTAATATGGTCATACATTTGGCAGGAGGTTAGGAAGTGCAGCTCAGTTTCCACCTCATTTTGTGGGCAGTGTGTACGTAGCCTGTCTTCTCTTGAGAGCCAGGTCTGCCTACGGCAGCCTTTCTCAATAGCAAGGCTATGCTCACTGAGTCTGTGCTTTCCTTAAGTTTGGGTCAGTCACAGTGGTCAGGTATTCTGCCACTGTGTACTCTCTGTTTAGGGCCAAATAGCATTCTAGTTTGCTCTGTTTTTTTGTTAATTCTTTCCAATGTGTCAAGTAATTCTCTTTTTGTTTTCTCATGATTTGGTTGGGTCTAATTGTGTTGTTGTCCTGGGGCTCTGTGGGGTCTGTTTGTGTTTGTGAACAGAGCCCCAGGACCAGCTTGCTTAGGGGACTCTTCTCCAAGTTCATCTCTCTGTAAGTGATGGCTTTGTTATGGAAGGTTTGGGAATCGCTTCCTTTTATGTGGTTATAGAATTTAACAGCTCTTTTCAGGATTTTGATAATTAGCGGGTATCGGTCTAATTCTGTTCTGCATGCATTATTTGGTGTTTTTCGTTGTACACAGAGGATATTTTTGCAGAATTCTGCATGCAGAGTCTCAATTTGGTGTTTGTCCCATTTTGTGAATTCTTGGTTGGTGAGCGGACCACAGACCTCATAACCATAAAGGGCCATTTTTTAAGTATTTTTAGCCAGATCCTAATTGGTATGTCAAATTTGTTGTTCCTTTTGATGGCATAGAAGGCCCTTCTTGCCTTGTCTCTCAGATCGTTCACAGCTTTGTGGAAGTTACCTGTGGCGCTGATGTTTAGGCCGAGGTATGTATAATTTTTGTGTGCTCTAGGGCAATGGTGTCTAGATGGAATTTGTATTTGTGGTCCTGGCAACTGCACCTTTTTTGGAACACCATTATTTTTGTCTTACTGAGATTTACTGTCAGGGCCAAGGTCTGGCAGAATCTGTGCAGAATATCTAGGTGCTGCTATAGGCCCTCCTTGGTTGGTGACAGAAGCACCAGATCATCAGCAAACATTAGACATTTTACTTCAGATTCTAGTAGGGTGAGGCCGGGTGGGTGCTGCAGACTGTTCTAATGCCCTCGCCAATTCGTTGATATATATGTTGAAGAGGGTGGGGCTTAAACTGCATCCCTGTCTCACCCCACGGCCCTGTGGAAAGAAATGTGTGTGTTTTTTGCCAATTCTATCCACACACTTGTTGTTTGTGTACATGGATTTTATAATGTCGTATGTTTTTCCTCCAACGCCACTTTCCATCAATTTGTATAGTAGACCCTCATGCCAAATTGAGTCAAAAGCTTTTTTGAAATCAACAAAGCATGAGAAGAATTTGCCTTTGTTTTGGTTTGTTTGTCAATTAGGGTGTGCAGGGTGAATACGTGGTCTGTCGTACGGTAATTTGGTAAAAAGCCAATTTGACATTTGCTCAGTACATTGTTTTCACTGAGGAAATGAACTAGTCTGCTGTTAATGATAATGCAGAGGATTTTCCCAAGGTTGCTGTTGACGCATATCCCACGGTAGTTATTGGAGTCAAATTTGTCTCCACTTTTGTGGATTGGCGTGATCAGTCCTTGGTTCCAAATATTGGGGAAGATGCCAGAGCTGAGGATGATGTTAAAGAGTTTAGTATAGCCAATTGGAATTTGTGGTCTGTATATTTTATCATTTCATTGAGGGTACCATCAACACCACAGGCCTTTTTGGGTTGGAGGGTTTGTATTTTGTCCTGTAGTTCATTCAATGTAATTGGAGAATCCAGTGGGTTCTGGTAGTCTTTAATAGTTGACTTGAAGATTTGCATTTGATCATGTATATCTCTTTGCTGTTTGTTCTTTGTTATAGGGCCAAAAAGACTGGAGAAGTGGTTTCTCCGTTTTGGATAGATAGCTCTTCGTGTTGTTGTTTGTTTAGTGTTTTCCAATTTTCCCAGAAGTGGTTAGAGTCTAGGGATTCTTCAATTACATTGAGCTGATTTCTGACATGCTGTTCCTTCTTTTTCCATAGTGTATTTCTGTATTGTTTTAGTGATTCACCATAGAGAAGGCGTAGGCTCAGGTTTTCTGGGTCTCTATGTTTTTGGTTGGATAGTTTTCTCAATTTCTTTCTTAGATTTTTGCATTCTTCATCAAACCATTTGTCATTGTTGTTACTTTTCTTCTGTTTTCTGTTAGAGATTTTTAGATTTGATAGGGAAGCTGAGAGGTCAAATATACTGTTTAGGTTTTCTACTGGCAAGTTTACACCTTCACTATTACAGTGGAACGTTTTGTCCAGGAAGTTGTCTAAAAGGGATTGAATTTGTTGTAGCCTAATTGTTTTTTGGTAGGTTTCGACACTACTTTCCTTCCATCTATAGCATTTCTTAATATTATTCAATTCCTTTGGCTTTGATGCCTCATGATTGAGTATTGCTCTGTTCAAGTAGACTGTGATTTTGCTGTGGTGTGATAGGGGTGTCAGTGGGCTGACTGTGATTTTGCTGTGGTGTGATAGGGGTGTCAGTGGGCTGACTGTGATTTTGCTGTGGTGTGATAGGGGTGTCAGTAGGCTGACTGTGATTTTGCTGTGGTGTGATAGGGGTGTCAGTGGGCTGACTGTGATTTTGCTGTGGTGTGATAGGGGTGTCAGTGGGCTGACTGTGATTTTTCTGTGGTGTGATAGGGGTGTCAGTGGACTGACTGTGATTTTGCTGTGGTGTGATAGGGGTGTCAGTGGGCTGACTGTGATTTTGCTGTGGTGTGATAGGGGTGTCAGTGGGCTGACTGTGATGTTGCTGTGGTGTGATAGGGCTGTCAGTGGGCTGACTGTGATTTTGCTGTGGTGTGATAGGGCTGTCAGTGGGCTGACTGTGATTTTTCTGTGGTGTGATAGGGGTGTCAGTGGACTGACTGTGATTTTGCTGTGGTGTGATAGGGGTGTCAGTGGGCTGACTGTGATTTTGCTGTGGTGTGATAGGGGTGTCAGTGGGCTGACTGTGATTTTGCTGTGGTGTGATAGGGGTGTCAGTGGGCTGACTGTGATTTTGCTGTGGTGTGAAAGGGATGTCAGTGGGCTGACTGTGATTTTGCTGTGGTGTGATAGGGGTGTCAGTGGGCTGACTGTGATTTTGCTGTGGTGTGATAGGGGTGTCAGTGGGCTGACTGTGAATGCTCTGAGAGACTGCAGGGGTTGTGACCCGTTTTTGTTGGTTATGTTGTCATAGTTGTGCCTAGGGGGGCATATGGGGGAGGGAATGCTGTGACCTCCAGGTAGGTGTTTGTCCCCCTGTGTGCTGAGGGTGTCAGGTTCTTGTCCAGTTATGGCATTTAGGTCGCCACAGACTAGTACATGTCCCTGGGTCTGGAAATGATTGATTTCCCCCTCCAGGATGGAGAAGCTGTCTTCATTAAAGTATGGGGATTCTAGTGGGGGGATATAGGTAGCACACAGGAGGGCATTTTTCTCTGTTGAGGTCATTTCCTTTAAAATTTCTAGCCAAATGTAAAATGTTCCTGTTTTGATTAATTTAATTGTGAGTTAGGTCTGCTCTATACCAAATTTGCATACCCCCTGAGTCCCTTCCCTGTTTCACACCTGGTAGTTTGGTGGATGGGACCTCTCTCTCTCTCTCTCTCTCTCTCTCTCTCTCTCTCTTGCTCTCTCTCTCTCTCACTCTCTCTATTTCTCTCTCTCTCTCTCTCTCTCTCTCTCTCTCTCTCTCTCTCTCTCTCTCTCTCTCTCTCTCAAGGTGAAGGTCAGACTTCTTCAGACAAGCAGTTTGACAGACAGATGCATCTCCTTTGCTTTGTGGCAACACAATCCTAGCCAAACACTCTTGATGAAGTCATCATCTCCATCGTGGGAGAGAGCAGTGGAGGCTCGCAGACTGTTTTTATTCACGCTGAATAATCAAGCTAATCAATATTCTATCAGCAGGCCACATCATCAAACACTGTCATTATCTGTGTTTCTCTCCTGGTGACTCTGTCACTAAGCCTGGCTGGGCACAGCCCCGAGCCACACCGCCTTGCCTTGTCCTCCTCATCCTCAGCCCCGAGCCACACCGCCTTGCCTTGTCCTCCTCATCCTCAGCCCCGAGCCACACCGCCTTGCCTTGTCCTCCTCATCCTTGTCCCCCTCATCACACAAATTAAGTCATTTTCTGTCTGTTCCTAGGCAATATCCATCTGGTTCCTGTATTGTTTGAGTGGTTTTGGTTTATGTGTGTGAAAAAGTGATTATCATTTACTCCTCTCTGGCTCTGTAAAGTCCCTCCAAGTGTTCTTCTTCCCAAAGAGAGAGAACTTTGGGGGGAAGAGAAGTTCCGACCAAAGTGATATCACGTCCTGGATTAGACTTCAAATGAGAAATCAGCCCAGTTTACCAAAACACACATTAATCTTTTGTAGAAGTGATCACTGACAGTAGAACTGACCTCACATAAACTCTGTTCATTTGCAGCTGTCAGAAACTCTGTTCATGTGCAGCTGTCAGAAACTCTGTTCATGTGCAGCTGTCAGAAACTCTGTTCATGTGCAGCTGTCAGAAACTCTGTTCATGTGCAGCTGTCAGAAACTCTGTTCATGTGCAGCTGTCAGAAACTCTGTTCATGTGCAGCTGTCAGAACACATTCTCTTTTGTTTCTTTCGATTACTCTCTCATCTTTCATGTTTGATCAGTTATATTGATGCTATTTCTTCTCATGCAACCAGGTTTACTGAGTGAGTGAGTGAGTGAGTGAGTGAGTGAGTGAGTGAGTGAGTGAGTGAGTGAGTGAGTGAGTGGGTGAGTGGGTGAGTGAGTGATTGAATAAGTGAATGAGTGAATGAGTGAGTGAGTCAGTGAGTGAGTCAGTGAGTGAATCAGTGAGTGGTCATAACTGTCCGTTGTCCTCTGCAGATATTGATGAGTGCAGTATAAACCGCGGTGGCTGTAAATATGGCTGTGTCAACACTCAGGGCAGCTATGAGTGTACTTGTCCACCTGGATACAAGCTACACTGGAATAGGAAGGACTGCATTGGTATGTAACAACACCACCACCCGGTGGTCAGAACATAGAAACACACATTATGGTTTGGTTCCAAAGTAATTGAAAGGATGGTGTAATTGAGGAGTAGTGTATGATTGTGATGTTGTTTTTGTGTTCATCCAGAGCTGATGAAATGTCTGCCTGGCCTAGCTCCAAAGACCACTCTGACCTGCAGTAAAACAGGCAAGAAAGAGAGCTGCTCCCTCACCTGCTCCTCCAAGGCTCACTATCTGGCAGGTAGAGACATCCATTTTACATTTACATTTTAGTCATTTAGCAGACACTCTTATCCAGAGCGACTTACAGTTAGTGAGTGCATACATTTTCATACTGGCCCCCCATGGGAAACGAACCCACAACCCTGGCGTTGCAAGCGCCATGCTCTACCAACTAAGCTACAGGGGACTACGTCCATATAAAATATCAGCGTTAATACACATTCTTACAGTTTTTATCTCAGACATTGTGTGCTATTGATTTAAATGACTTCTGACTGAAGCTGTAACTATGTTTGATCATTTGCAGAATCTGACAGCAGCTATACAATGAGCTGTGGCATCCCCATCCTGCGAGGCAAAACCCCAGCCAGACTGAACACAAGCAGCACTCCGAGCTGCATAGGTACAGTGTCCCACAGAAACATTCTTAGGACTTAGGTAGAAGGTTGCAGATGTAGCTAGGGTTAGGGTTTGGGTTAGGGTAAGGGTTGCGGCTGGAGCTAGGGTTAGGGTAAGGGTTTGGGTTAGGGTAAGGGTTGCGGCTGGAGCTAGGGTTAGGGTTTGGGTTATGGTCAGAATCAATGGGTTTGTATATTGTTCCTATCTGTGCCACTGCATATATGCAACTGTTGTGGACTGAATGGTTCTGTTGTAGTGTGATCCTTCTCTACACCCATCCACCTACACTGCTCTGTTTGCCTGTAGAAACAGGGGCCCCTCCAGTGAAGCAGACCGCCTCTTTCAAGATCAAAGATGCCAAGTGCCACCTGCACCCCAAGCTGACAGGCCGGGCTGAGGACAGGGGCCGAGCGCTGGGGCCAGGTGAGGGGCCACATCTGGCCTACATTCCAGACCTTGGTAATGATGGCCTTACAAAAAAACTGACAATTCAACTACAGTGCATTCTTTTTTTCTGTATGTCTCATATTCAGTGTGTGCATATTCAACAGCAAATTTGTAGGTAAGTGGGTCTCTGTGTATTTGCTACATAGTAACCCTCACTGTGATTATGTGCAATGAAGCCAGTAATCTGTCTAACATATGCAGCTAACAGACCAATGCTACCACCCCAACTCTAACCCATAAAAGACCAAGCATTGATGTTGACACCCAGTAATTTACCATGTTGTTTTACAATAATGTGCCCCTAGGAAGTGGACAGCCCTGCAGTAACTGCCTGGTTACGTTTGTCAACCTCAAATGTGACTCCTCCAAGAAGGCCAAAGGGCGTCGTGCCCGTAACCCCACCAACAAAGAAGTGACACGCATCACCCTGGAGCTCGAGGCGGAGGTCAAGCCAGGAGACACCACAGGTCAATCAGTCTGGACACCAGTACTGAGATTTACAAGATGTCCGCTTTGATATACCTCCTTGCCACTGTGATTGACTGATTGATTCATTTTTTGATTGCTTAAGGAATTCATTGATTCATTGATTGATCTGGTCATATGTACTGTCCCTTCTCCCCCATAGGGAGCTGTAACCTGAGTTGCCTGCGCCAGCGCATGGAGAAGCAGGTGAAGACATACATCAAGGCCCTGAAGAAGTCGATCAACCAGGAGCGTTTCCTGATACGTGTGGCTGGGCTGGAGTACGAGGTGGCCCAGAAGCTGCCCCAGGTCGACTCAGGCCACGAGAACTGTGGTCCAGGATGGGAGAAGGACAGCGGACGATGTGGTAAGAAAGACCAGTTTGGCAGCCATCTTTCTCTGTCACCAGTTACCATGTAGACCATGACTCTGTACGAACATTTTATTATATTACAGATGGCATAAACAGTCAAGGCCCTGTGATGACACAAACCATAAGCTGACATCAGTTCTCATGACTATTTATGACTCGTGTGTACTTATGTATTCTTAGAGTCTCATGTACTGAATAGAAAAACATCTCCAGATGTTGGTGTGTTAGTTTGGAGTCAAGAGTGTTTGGTGTCAGTGTGTGTACTGTACTGTATAGCTCTCTCACCAGACCCCCTGGCTATTCTCTCAGTCAGATGTTTGCCGGGATCTTACTACCATGGGGAACAGGAGCGCTGTGTCCAGTGCCCACCTGGCACCTTCCAGGAGAGGGAGGGGCAGCTGGCCTGTGACCTGTGCCCAGGCAGTGATGGGCATGGACCTGCCGGGGCTCGCAACATCTCCTCCTGCGCAGGTACATACACACCCCTGATGGCAGAGTGCACTAATTATCCATTCAGTGAAGTGTAGCACAGTGTACTGTACTTCTCTATCTGACTGAAAGTGTCTTGTTACTGTTGTCTACATCAAGGTCAGTGCCCAACTGGCTACTTCTCCAGTGATGGGTTTCAGCCATGCCAGCCATGCCTGTTTGGCTCCTACCAGCCTGACCTGGGACGGACCCTGTGCTTCCCCTGCGGAGGGGGGCTGAGCACCAAGCGGGAGGGGGCCAGCTCCTTCCATGACTGTGAGGTCAAAGGTCAGTTCATATTATCCTCACATCTGTGCCATTGATTCAATATTATTTCACCTCAGATTTGGTTTGTAAGAGTGAATATGTGTGTGTCCCTCTCCTCTCTGCAGTTCAGTGCTCCCCTGGCCACTACTACAACACTACGGTGCACCGCTGTATTCGTTGCCCTTTGGGCAGCTACCAGACAGAGTTCAGACAGAACTACTGCATCACCTGTCCTGGTAACACCACTACAGACTTTGATGGTGCCACCAGTGTCTCTCAGTGCAAGAGTAAGTTCCTGATTGTATAAACCTGCTATCTGCATACAGAATGCATTTTCTGACAGAAAAACTTTTCCTTTTGGACTTTCAAAAAATGTAGCCTTGAGCCTTAATTTGCAAACCTTTTCTATGAATATTAAATTCAAAATACAGGTTGCATAAATTGCCCTAAAGGAAATTGGTCCACACTTAACAAATTGAATTTTTTATTTGATCTATCCAGCCAAATAGAAATATGGATTTTTTCTTTCCAAAACTCCAGATGGATTCACTAATAACGTGTATTATATTGTGTATGCGTGTGTGTGTACGTTAGACCGAGAATGCGGAGGAGAGATGGGTGAGTTCACAGGTTACATTGAGTCGCCCAACTACCCTGGGAACTACCCAGCTAATGTGGAATGCATCTGGAACATCAACCCACCCAACAAGCGCAAGATTCTCATGGTGGTGCCTGAGATCTTCCTGCCCTCAGAGGACGAGTGTGGAGACGTACTGGTTATGAGGAAGAATTGTAAGCACCTCTCATATAACCCAGCCCATGTGTTTAATATAATTCCATTCACTACATTCCAGCCATTATTATGAGCTGTCCTCCCGTCACCAGCCTCCTCTCAACCCAGTGTGGTGTTCCACAATATCAATCCACTCTATAGAGATTGGATCTAGGTTTCAATAAACACGGAACATTCTCAAACAACAAATACTGTACTATACATAGTTCAATTTTAAGGTTTTAGTTTTTAAGGCGTCTACTTGAGAAGCTTTCAAGTTCAGGAAATTATCATAAGAGCAGATTGAGATTGAGTGCCTGCATACCCTATGTGCAAAGTATTTTGTCAATCTTCTCTGTCTCTCGTCTGTTCTTCCAGGGTCAGCCACGTCCATCACAACCTATGAGACGTGTCAGACGTATGAGCGACCTATAGCCTTCACCGCCCGCTCCCGCAGACTCTGGATCAACTTCAAGTCCAACGAGGCTAACAGTGCCCGAGGCTTCCAGATCCCCTATGTCACCTATGACGGTAAACTCTCACCCACCACACAGACATTCACTGACGAAACAGAGGGGGCAAGTCTTCGGATTCTGAGGTGTTTATTGTATCGTGTTTTTGTGCATTCACAGAGGATTATGAACAGCTTGTAGAGGACATTGTCAGAGATGGAAGACTCTATTCCTCTGAAAACCATCAAGAAATCCTAAAGGTTAGTGCCTGCTGCTAAGATACATACTACTGCATCCCTCAGTGGGTCATATTCATGTTCAAGTCAGGTATTGTCTGAATAAATACTTTTCAATACTTGAATACTTGTCAGTAAAGTGGGCTGTGTTGTTCTCTTCTTCCTATCAGGATAAAAAGCTGATTAAAACTCTCTTCGACGTGCTGGCCCACCCAAACAACTACTTCAAGTACACCCCTCGGGAGTTCAGCGAGATGCTGCCGCGCTCCTTCTTGCGCCTCATAAGCAGCAAAGTCTCTGCGTTCTTGCGACCATATAAGTAGTCTCCACATCAAACCCCGCCCCTGAAGGACCAGACCCCACCCCCCTCTTACAGGCCAAACACCAAACTCTCACAGGACTTATAACAAGTTGACAAAAATAACATTTTTTTTTCTTCTTCTATTTTTTCATACTGTAGGCTTGACGACACACTTCACTATGCAGTCTCATATGTCGAACTTAATCTGTTTTGCAGTATTTAGTTTTATATCCTTTAATTTTCTCCAAAACCATGCTGTCTCTGAAGCCAACCAACTTGAGTCAAAGTACAGTACAGGCTTTCTTGCTCATCTCTTCTTTCTGAATATTTATCACGACTCCAATATGTTTGTGTCGTTCTTTGTTGTTGTCGTCATTCTTGTTTCTATTATCATATAGCATAGATGGCCTTGTCTGTCATTTTCACAGCAATCCCTAATGAGAAGGATGTGTGTGTATTTCAGATGACGCATGTTGTCTGTTTGTTGACAAAATGGACAATGGTAGAGGCATTTATTTCAAACAGGAAGAAGGATATTACAAGGGCAATATGTTTGTCACATTTGTTTTGAGCTGGAACAGGGTTATCGTAAACGTGCTTTAATATATAGTCTTTCACTTGAGTTCCAGCTTTAACTCTTACCATGCCAGGATGAGTCTGTTTTGATAAATGTATAAGCTTTTGTACATCTATATCCTCCATGAGCAATCCTCAAGGAGAAGGACCTGTCAGTTTCATGTCATAGTTACATTCCACAACATTCAAAGACTTACTATATCTGAGCTCTTAGAGCAACTTCTTATTAAGGTATTACTGTTAAAACAGTTATTCTAGGTTTTTTTCTTCTGTCCAGATTGTATAACTGTCTGTTACCTACCTTCAGATATTTTCTGTTATTCTATATCCAAGTTAACTTAACAAAGTGTATAAATAGTAGTTTATCATTTTTCTCCCAGAAGGTGATGGACATTTTGGAAAAGAAATAGAAAACTAGATTTGTGAGAGTCACAGGAGACAGAGAAATGTCTCTATGGTCCATGACTGGTGAGTGAGAGACAGAGAGACGTCTTAATTAAAGGACAAGGCTCTGTGATACAGAAAATGTCTTTATTGGACACAACTCTGTGAGAGAGTTGTCTTTGAGGGACATATGTTTGCTGCTTCTTTTAAAAAGGTCACTTTAATTATTCAATCTCAAGTCCTTTCTGTCCTCGCATCACACTAATAGTCCATTGCATTAATATAAAAGAAAGTTGAGTGTTTAGAGAGATGCATCATAAGTATAAATATAATTATACCGCCTGTCCTCATGTAAGTTGATAGTCACATCACATTTGCCTCTCCATCCATGGACTACCAACTGATTGTAATGTTTTTCTTTCAATCTTGTAAATAATGGAAAAAAAATAGACATGGTTTGAATCCTTTTTAATCTAAATTATCTTGGAACAGGATCCCCAAAGTATTTTCCGCCCATGTCCTCTTCACCCTCTCCCAAACCCAAAGACCCCCCCCCCACCAGCCTCCTTTTTCCCAAATGCCCCATGTCAGATTCTGTCCCAATAAGACTAGCTCTTCCAAAGACTGCCCGCACGGCAGGCCAAGTTATTATCTTGTGAACTAGATCTAGAGCCTGTCATCCTACCTTTGTTATATATTGCAATGAATGAAGTCTCCATTGTGTTACTCCTCTCTCTGTGTCCAGAGAAATACAAAAAAACAATGTTGAAACCTGTCAAAACATAACAAAGCATTGTCTTTTCTTGGACTAATTAAAACATTTTAGTGACTGGATTAGGGTTGTGAATGAAGTTACTTTATATTCAGCATCCCACTACAATAATGTTGAAAAACTAATATAGTTGATCAATACAATACTATTACAATTGAATTATTGCTGACAATTGCATTGTCAATGTAAAAGCTAATGACAACAAGTAATCCTAATACACTCAAAACCTTTGTTAAAGAAAAATAAACAGAGCTACTGCTCTTAAATATCATATGGATTTCCCTTGGAAATTCTGTTTTTATTTTATTTTAAATTTTTTGTTGTAAATAAAAGAGAAAATAAACAGTGTAAACAGTAAAAGCTACTGCACACTACCTTTAGATAGTTGGAAGCACAGGTGCTTCTGGGTAAGATAAAGGGATTTTGACCACATTCCTACATTGTAAGACAAGCGTGGCCTAGCCATGCAGACCACATAGTCAGAAGGAACTGTTTAATACACATCACACAGAATATCTGCCATATCTGTATTCTTTTGAATGTAAAAAACAAAACAAAAAGCCTAGCTACATTTATGGTTGTTTTAAGTTGCCATTAGGATTTATACCACCCTGTTTTTAAAAAACATTTTCGATGTCAATAGCAGCAGTCCATAGCGCTCACTGCTCCCACCCGTCCCAACTCACCATCCCCTCTCTTCATCCCTCTGTCCCTGCAGCCTGAACACATCAGATGGTTTTGTTTTTTTATTCGTTTTTTTTTTACATGAGTTTGCTATGATGGATCATAGAGTTGATAATGGTATTTGCACTTGAAAATTGTTATTGCTCATGTAAAAATGTCTGGATTTTGTATTGTCTTTTTAAATGAATGGAATTGGTGTGCTTACATTTCTTGTAGCGCTCGTTTGTTCTCTAAATGCTCGCCTACTGTGTTCAACCCATAAAGATGCACACGTACACTACCGTTCAAATGTTTGGGGTCACTTAGAAATTTATTTGTTTTCAAAAGAAAAGCAATTTCTCTGTCCATTAAAATAACATCAAATTGATCAGAAATACAGTGTAGACATTGTTAATGTTGTAATTGGCTATTGTAGCTGGAAACGGCTGACTTTTAATGGAATATCTACATAGGTGTACAGAGGCCCATTATCAGCAACCATCAGTCATGTGTTCCAATGGCACGTTGTGTTTGCTAATCCAAGTTTATCATTTTAAAAAGGCTAATTGATCATTAGAAAACGCTTTTGAAATTATGTTAGCACAGCTGAAAACTGTTGTGCTGATTAAAGAAGCAATCAAACTGGCCTTCTTGAGACTAGTTGAGTATCTGGAGTATCAGCAATTGTGGGTTCGATTACAGATTCAAAATGGCCAGAAACAAATAACTTTCTTCTGAAACTCGTCAGTCTATTCTTGTTCTGAGAAATGAAGGCTATTCCATGCGAGAAATTGCCAAGAAACTGAAGATCTCGTACAACGCTGTGTACTACTCCCTTCACAGAACAGCGCAAACTGGCTCAAACCAGAATAGAAAGAGGAGTGGGAGGCCCTGGTGCACAACTGAGCAAGAGGACAAATACATTAGTGTCTAGTTTGAGAAACAGACGCCTCACAGGTCCTCAACTGGCAGCTTCATTAAATAGTACCCGCAAAACACCAGTCTCAACGTCAACAGTGAAGAGGCGACTCTGGGATGCTGACCTTCTAGGCAGAGTTGCAAAGAAAAAGCCATATCTCAGACGGGCCAATAAAAATAAAAGATGGGCAAAAGAACACAGACACTGGACAGAGGAAGATTGGAAAAAAGTGTTATGGACAGACTAATCGAAGTTTGAGGTGTTCGGATCACAAAGAAGAACATTTGTGAGACGCAGACCAAATGAAAAGATGCTGGAGGAGTGCTTGATGCCATCTGTCAAGCATGGTGGAGGCAATGTGATGGTCTGAGGGTGCTTTGGTGGTGGTAAAGTGGGAGATTTGTACAGGGTAAAAGGGATCTTGAAGAAGGAAGGCTATCATTCCATTTTGCAACGCCATGCCATACCCTGTGGACGGCGCTTGATTGGAGCCAATTTCCTCCTACAACAGGACAATGACCCAAAACACAGCTCCAAACTATGCAAGAACTATTTAGGGAAGAAGCAGTCAGCTGGTATTCTGTCTATAATGGAGTGGCCAGCACAGTCACCGGATCTCAACCCTATTGAGCTGTTGTGGGAGCAGCTTGACCGTATGGTATGTAAGAAGTGCCCATCAAGCCAATCCAAATGTGGGAGGTGCTTCAGGAAGCATGGGGTGAAATCTCTTCAGATTACCTCAACAAATTGACAACTAGAATGCCAAAGGTCTGCAAGGCTGTAATTGCTGCAAATGGAGGATTCTTTGACGAAAGCAAAGTTTGAAGGACACAATTATTATTTCTATTAAAAATCATTATTTCTAACCTTGTCAATGACTATATTTCCTGTGCATTTTGCTATATTTCCTATTCAAACTAATTTCATGTATGTTTTCATGGAAAACAAGGACATTTCTAAGTGACCCCAAACTTTTGAACAGTAGTGTACATGTAACTTTATCAACTGTAAAAAAATAAAAATAAAGTATGTACAGAGATGAAATTAAACAAGATTATGAGCTTGTTTCTGTCAAAAAACACATCAAAATAAACATACTGTAATTGAGTTTAATTTCTAATATTATTTGATGTCAAAGTAGCCATTTTCTTGTTTATGAGACTAAGGAGGAAATCTCAGAAGCCGTTTATACCTGGTTCTAACTTGCATTTTTAGACAGGTGTAGACAATCAAAACATTTACATTACATTTTAGTCATTTAGCAGACGCTCTTATCCAGAGCGACTTACAGGAGCAATTAGGGTTAAGTGCCTTGCTCAAGGGCACATTTACGTCATTTAGCAGACGCTCTTATCCAGAGCGACTCACCAATTGGTGCGTTCACCCTATAGCCAGTGGGATAACCACTTTACAATTTTGGGGGGGGGGGGGGGGGGGGGGGTAGAAGGATTACTTTATCCTATCCCAGGTATTCCTTAAAGAGGTGGGGTTTCAAATGCCTCCGGAAGGTGGTGAGTGACTCCGCTGTCCTGGCGTCGTGAGGGAGCTTGTTCCACCATTGGGGTGCCAGAGCAGAAGACACATGATCTGATCTGATTGTGATTAGATCATCGTAACCACCTCCAGAGTTAGTCAGACACGCATTGTGTAGACAGCTCTGGACAGAGAAACCATTTAAATCATAATTATTCCGCTCTCTAAAATCATTGACAGGTGGCACCATTGACTGATTACATCAATATGTGTCTTAAAATAAATACATACATATTATTTGAAAGAATAGCTGTGAAATAATTTGCCTAAAGGAAGGGACCAGGAAATCTGGTCACAATGCAGACACAGCGGACACAGACACATTTAAAATACCATGTGTAGACAACACATTTCTGGAAATGTGGGCACAATCAGAACAAAGGACCCATGTTAGCACCAGGTATAAACGGGGCTAGACAATAACCATCTCTTAAAAACAATTTGAGCAAAATAAGGGGTGTGTCAGGGACTATTTTGTGTAGTAGGTTTGTGTACTGGTCTTTCTGACTCACCCTTGAAAGAAAATCATTTGAGCATCAATTTAATCCAAAACAGGTTCCTCCAGTTTTGTGTCATCAGATAAAATGGCTGACACTGCAGCTGTGACACCAATTTGTTGACCGCGTACGTGTTGACATGACAAACCAGGGCCTGTATTGGGGACACTCCTAACGTCACAGTAGGCAGAGCCCAATGCAGCTGACAGATAAATAGACAAACATAACTTCTGCTTTGAAGGGCACGCATTAACAATGTGTTATTCTGTTTTTAACCTACAATTAACCTTTTGTTTTCACAACTAAAATCCATTGGACCAACCATTTCATAGTATTAAAAGCATTATACCCCACTCATAATGTTAAAAGTGTTGTATAAATTGAAGAGGTCATATACAGAGGGTATCAAGGTTTATTCTCTCTTTACAAAACAAACAATTGACATGGTTTAGAAAGTCCTGCCATTGGTAACACTTAGGGCCCGATTCAATCAGATCCGCTTTAGCCTACATCTGCATAGCTGATGTTTTGACAGTGTCGGAGGTGGAACTGCGTTAGAGCTGTCCACAAGCAGCTCCGGGCATAATACCTAAAGCGGACATTGCCATTGGCTGCACGGAGTCGCATTAAGAGAAATCCCATGCAGCCTTATTTACAAAACTGGAATGTGAGATGTAATCTACACCTCCGATTAGGCTGATAGAAATCCTCATTATTTTGTTTCATAATTTTCAATTTGAGCGTCATTATTTCTATATAGCCTACACTTTCTCGTTCTAAACTTCTAACGCGAGTGGGACGGGTGTGGCTTCGTGACAATGATCAAGAGCAGCTGCTCACTGATCTGATAGCTCCAACGCTGTTACACCGTCACTGCCAAAACATAAACTATGCGGGTGTCGGCTATCGCTGGTTAATGCTTGATCTGATTAAATCTAGGCCTTAATGAGCCAATTCAATTCTAAATGCTACACTTCTTCATTTTGTGCGTCACACCTAAAAACACGTAAACCACGTTTCAGATTTCTATCACTGACTGGCTGGCTACTGAAGCTTCTATCTACTGTACTGTAGGCTATGTAGTAGTACATTAGTACACCTTATAATTTGGTTCCTTTACAACTGCCAATCACTACACCAAACAAATTAATTTGAAACACTGAACTGAGTCAGTCAAATTGCAAATCAGATAATTTTTTTACTGGTTGCCATGGTTCCAAAAAAATTGAGGAATTAGAGGAACTTTAGTTAATGAAGTTCAAACAATGCTATCAAGGACAGAGAAAGCTCTGGACAGAGAAACCATTTAAATCATAATTATTCCGCTCTCTAAAATCATTGACACTGAACTGAGTCAGTCAAATTGCAAATCAGATAATTTTTTTACTGGTTGCCATGGTTCCAAAAAAATTGAGGAATTAGAGGAACTTTAGTTAATGAAGTTCAAACAATGCTATCAAGGATATGTGAAAGGAGAAGTTATAAAGGCACATCCCTAACTGTAAAAATACCATCAGGTTTTTTCTCCAGTTGAAAACACAGCTTGAAGGGTTGTGTATTGTTCTTCATAAGAGCATGACATTCACTACATTACCAAAAGTATGTGGACACTTGCTTGTCGAACATCTCATTCCAAAATCATGGCCATTAATATGGAGTTGGTCCCCCCTTTGCTGCTATAACAGCCTCCACTCTTCTGGGAAGGCTTTCCACTAGATTTTGGAACATTGCTGCAGGGACTTGCTTTCATTCAGCAACAAGAGCATTAGTGAGGTTGGGCACTGATGTTGAGCGTTTAGGCCTGGCTCGCAGTTGGCGTTCCAATTCATCACAATGCTGTTCGATGGGGTTGTGGTCAGGGCTCTGTGCAGGCCAGTCAAGTTCTTCCACACCGATCTTGACAAACCATTTCTATATGGACCTCGCTTTGTGCACGGCGGCATTGTCATGCTGAAACAGGAAAGGGCCTTCCCCAAACTGTTGCCTCAAAGTTGGAAGCACAGAATCATCTAGAATGTCATTGTATGCTGTAGCGTTAAGATTTCCCTTCACTGGAACTAAGGGGCCTAGCCCGAACCATGAAAAACAGCCCCAGACCATTATTCCTCCATCAAACTTTACAGTTGGCACTATGCATTCAGGCAAGTAGCGTTCTCCTGGCATCCGCCAAACCCAAATTCGTCGGACTGACAGATGGTGAAGAGTGATTAATCACTCCAGAGAACGCGTTTCCTCTGCTCCAGAGTCAAATGGTGGCAAGCTTTACACCACTCAAGCAGACGTTTGGCATTGCGCATGGTGATCTAAGGCTTGTGTGCGGCTGCTCGGCCATGGAAACCCATTTCATGAAGCTCCCGACTAACAGTTATTGTGCTGACGTTGCTTCCAGAGGCAGTTTGGAACTCGGTAGTGAGTGTTGCAACCGAGGACAGACACACTCGGTGGTCCCATTCTGTGAGCTTGTGTGGTCTACCACTTCGCGGCTGAGCCGTTGTTGGTCCTAGACGTTTCCACTTCACAATAACAGCACTTACAGTTGACCGGGGCAGCTCTAGCAGGGCAGAAATGTTACGAACTGACTAGTTGGAAAGGTGGCATCGTATAACGTTGAAAGTCACTGAGCTCTTCAGTAAGGCCATTCTACTATCAATGTTTGTCTATGGCGATTGCATGGCTGTGTGCTAGATTTTATACACCTGTCAGCAACGGGTGTGGCTGAAATAGCTGAAACCACTAATTTGAAGGGGTGTCCACATACCTTTGTATATATAGCGTACAAGTTAATTACACACAAACATCCCTACATGCAGTTTATTATATTTAATTTAGAAAATAGACAATGATCAAATTACTGAATATGTCATGAGATTCAAAAACAGCCTAACATATTTTACAAGGAATGTACATACTCAGTGTACTGCAAACTGTAGTTAGTGCAGTATCTCATAGTAGTATGATACTGTAATCATGATATTCATGAAAGGCAGTCTTGGGGTACATACAGCATTTCTGTGCAGTACGAAGGCAAGAAGACACTCCTTCATCAATCAAATAGTGCTCTCTGCATGTTGCTTCAAATAAGGCCTTATGGAGAGAGTAATCTTCCGATAAGTTTCAGTGTCCCAGTGACTAAAAACTAGAATCCATATTAAGAACATTCCTCCTCCTCAGACCTCACCCCTCATATGGATTCCATAATGGTGCAGTTCCATTTCCCCTCTCCCTTCCCTCAGTCGCTCAGCAGTCCTAGCTTCTTCAGGGCCTCCCGTCGGTCCTCTCCACTCTTGCTGTTGGGGCAGATCAGCACACTGATACCATGGGAGCGGGGCAGCTTGTTCTGAGACTCCCCATGACCTGACTGGGGGTGGCAGGCCTCACCCTGAACATTCATGAAGTCTTTCCTAGTTCCTAGGGAGGCAGGGCGGGGCCTAGACTTACGCTGGTCGCCGGGGGACAAAGGGACACTGGGATCCCGGTTTGCCCTGAGGGAAGCATTGCTGCCCATGTAGCTGCTCAGACCCATGCCGGAGCGCTCCAGAGTGGCTGATTTGACCCCTCCGGGAGGGAGAATATGCTTGGGTGGTGAAGGAGGGGTTGCAAGGGGCGAGGGCAGAGCTTTGGCATTGTCACTGAATTGGATTGGGGCTGGAACTGGAGCAAGGGTAGTGGCTCGGGCTGGTACTGGGGTAGTCACTGGAACTGGGTCTGGGACTAGGGCTGGGGCAGCGACTGCATCAGGCACTGGGATTGGGGTATGGATAGTGGCTGGGACTGGGGCAGGGGTAGTGGCTGGGGAAGGAGTTGGGATTTGGGCTGGGGCTTGGGTCTGGGTGGCAGCCGGGCTGCGAGGAGAGGGAGTGGGTGCCCATGACTTCCGGGATTTGGGTGAAACTACAGGGCCTGAGTCTCCATCTTCACCCTTCAGGAGCCCGAGCTTCCGTAGGGCCTCCAAGCGTACCTTCTGGGGGTCAATCATCGACCTGTCAATGGGCGAGGGGAGAGGGGGGCCTGGGTGACTATCTGACTTGTGGGACTTCAGGATGATGTTGGAGGGAAGCCTCTTGGGCTTAGGGGCCACGGCAGGTGGGTTCTTTGTTTCCAGGGCCTTAGGAATGGGGATGGTTAGGGCCTCTGAGTGGGAGGGTGGTGAGTTGGTAATAACAGGTACAGGCAGATCAACAGGAGGTTTAGAAGGTGGTGCCTGTTGGGATCCAGGGGAGGCTGGTGGAGCTCTCCTGTGTAGTTGCTCCAGCTCACTGTAGGTTAGTGGACCTCTGAGTTCTGCAGGCACTGGAGGATCACTCTCCTCCTCTGGCTCATCATCCCTGAAGTCTGAGGGAGGGGGAATCAGCTTCAGATCCAGCTCAGAGTGAACTTTAGATTGACGCTTTGCAGACTTGCTGTCTACAGAGACTCCTTTAGGCATGTTGTCCACAGAATCATCTGTAGGTAAATCTGAGGTGGCTGAGGAACAGGTTGTGCCCGAGGCAGAGTCAGAAGCTTTCGGGTCTGCAGCTAACTCTGGGGTTTTAGACTCAGTGGACAACTCCGGAACTTTTGTGATAGTGGCCAACTCTGAGGACTTAGGCACAGTTGCTATCTCTGGAGCTTTAGGGTCTGTGACTACCTCTGAGACTGTGGGTTCAGTGACTACCCCTGGAGGTTTTAGATCAGTAAATGCCCCTGTGGTACTGAGCTGGGTTGCTACTACTGAGGCTGGGACTCTGGGCTCAATTGCTGCAGCTGGAGCAGTGGGTTGGGTGGCAGCAGCTGGGGCTTTGAACTGGATACCGGCATGGCTATTTGCCAGTAGAAGTGGTGTAGGCACTATGCAGTTCAGAAAGGACTTCTGATCCCTTCCTGAGTCAGCATGCTGCAGTTCTGACATATCTAGAAGGCAAGCAGAAACAGCAGAGTTATTTTACTGTCAAATTCCCACAAGTTCCTAAGCCTGTTAGTCTCTTGCATGATACATTGCTGATAAAACAACTACATAGATATGAACAAACTATCACCCTCCAGTCTGGTCTGTCCCATAGAGAGGTGGCCATGTTTGGCTGCCAGGCTGCTGGGGTCTGGCTCATCATTGGACAGGCCACTGTCCTCCTCCATCTCCAGGGACTCAATGGTGGACTCCAGAAACATGAGGCACGCACGCTCCTCAGCAGAGAGGTGCTCCAGACTGTCATCACTCTGCCCCCCCCCCCCCCCACACACACACACACACACAAACACACACACACACGTAATTAACACAAAGAAGAAACATGGAAACGTAGACAAACTGCAAATGTAGAGAACAAACAGATTCAGAATAAAGATAACAATGCAATCAAGTGCTACCCTTTAGTCAAGATTACATAGCTATGTGGAGATGTATGCCAGGAATATCTGTGTACACTATATCCTTGTATAACGTTAGGTGAGGCCTTCAAACTATTTTGCCTTGGTTTTCAGTTGTTAATAGTCAGTGTTTCTTCAGTCTCTCTGTTACTTTCAGCTAGGCTGAACATTACATTGAGGCCCAGTGAGACTGGAGACACAGAGCGGATCAAAATTACATTTACCTTTCACACAGCACCGATGGAATGACAATTTACCACAGCACTGCTCCCGGCTAGCTTTTATCCTATACTGCGTTGCCAGAGGAATGTATTGCAGTGGATTTCAGTGAGGGGCCTCTGAACAGCTCTGAACTAAACAGACAAGGTTCTGATCATCCTCAAAGCAGTCTCTGTGGCTCTCTTATTTCACTTTCATTCTGTGAAGCCCCTCAAAGGCCCCTCTCTGAACAAACATCTGAATCTCTCACCCACAACATGAAACAAGCCCAGCAGCCCACTGACACTTATAATTGGGAGACAGTGGCTCTGAACCCTATCTACTGTACACTGCATTCTAGGGAGTTCTTCCTAGCCACTGTGCTTCTGCATCTGCATTGCTTGCTCTTTGGGGTTTTAGGCTGGGTTTCTGTAAATCACTTTATGACAACTGCTGATGTAGAAATAGCTTTTTAAAATACATTTGATTGATTGAACATGCCAATTTATAATAGTCAATATTAAATCCAAGATGGGAGTGAGAAAGGCCCTCTTTCAATGTTTGACATTTTGTCCTTTAGATCCTTTCTAAAGTATCCCTCAGTGTTTACCACAAAGGCAGCAGTGCAGCACATAAACAAAATAAAGTAGAAACCGGTGAAATCAGGGTCTCAAATATTTTCCTGGTTAGCCAGTGCTAATTAGAGTTGGTGGGAAAAGGGGCAAGGCTAGGGATATGGCAGCACTCACAAAGCCAGAGTTCATGCTAACCACACTGTCACAGCTCCCAGTGCTGTCCATACTGATCAAGGATTCCATGGCAACGCCGCCCGGCCACGTGTCACTCTTCGGCATGGCAAAGGGACAGGTGCCAGGGGTTCAGGGGGCCTCTGCTAATTGGCTGGAAGTCACAGATGGTCCAGATGGGGAAGTAACTGAAAAAAAGAAGGAAGGAGAGAATAAGTTTTAACGCTTGAGGCAAAAATCATTACATCATCATGATGCTCCATTCAGCAGAGCTTCCCTAGTGTAAATTGTGGTATTTCTCTATTACAGCCCATGGTTAAAGACTAGGACATGTTACATACACTTACTAAATGTTTTTAAGCCATGTCTTTTCTTAGCAGTGACATTTGATCAGTGATATCATGGTAGAGTTCTACAACAAACAGGCATCCTGTTACACATCTCTAATACAGTACAGTATATCAATGTACAGGAGGGACAATAGTACACCAGCCAGCAGCTTCCAGGCAGGATTATTACATCACCAATACTGTCTCTCTATTTAGCCTCTATGTGCCCTTATCCAATAGAGGGATACACTGACAAAGCCATAGCCAAAGCTCAAGCGGTGAGCAAAGGAGAGCCTATTAGCCTTTGATTCATGCTAAATCTTTAAACTGCAAAGGAGCGTCCGGCATATGGCGGGGGTCTTGTTGTGGCCTTATGCTCCACAGGGATCGAAGAGGAGTAAGATTTTTAACCCCATGAGGTTCTTAACCCGGCCACATACTCACTGAAGCTACTAAACCTTATCAAGTGGCACTGTGTGAACCCAATCACCAACATGCCACACTATGCCATGCCAACAACAAACTGTTGACATCTAGGTCTACACTGTAGTTAAAATAATGTAGATGTACCAGTGGTGACAAATATGCATAGCAGGGATTTTTGGGCAGTTTTATTAGAACATAACATATCAAACTACATTTTACCATCAGTTACTATTCAGTTTGCTTTCATTCATTTTATCCAGGCATAGGCCTATGCTGTAGGTCATCACATTCAGATGGCTCAGTGCCAGTGTCAATATAAACTGTGTTTTATTACCCTCTATCATGAGACCATTTGATTATACATACAAAAGCAGAGAGGAACAGTAATGATAGTGAATTTCCATTGGAGTCATTGTAAAGTGCGTCATCGGTCCATCATTAATTTGATTTACACTGAAACACCGAGACTATGTCTGAAGATCCATCAAAAAGGCACTCAATGTTGCTGAATTGCCTGGGGTTAGGGTTGAGACACTTAGGCCTATGTCATTTTAACTACACAAATATTAAGCAATTGCCAAATACATCCTGGCACTCTGTATAGAGTATCACCCCACCCAACGATGTCACATTTAGACGTCATAAGGTCCAACTGAACAAAATGCTCTGTTCTGTAGCTGTGAAGTTATTTAACAAGGGAGTTGCAAGTGAAATGTAAATTTCTTTAATGAGTTTTCCTGTCAGCACTTCACCTGGATTGTTCCAGTAAACTGAATTCCCCTTTGCTTTTCAGAATGACATGTATCGGAGTCTACCTGCAGCCTTAGCAAGTCAATAACAATGGAAATATGGGCTTGTTGACAGAAGCACAACATGTGGGTCAATATAGGCCACACAGTATGGGGTTGGCAACAACAGACAGTGGGCTTTCTAGTTGGTTCACACAGTATCCCAGGGTACCCTCCCTCCCATTTAGTCTAGTGCTGATAATTAGGCCTACTTCCTGCCCCTCCCAATGGAGACATAATAATACTATGAGCATTAGACGGAGAGGAAATGTCCCAGAACCTGCCCCTCCCTGTACTAGTCGTTTTAGCTAACATTCCACTCCTTTCAAGGACACAGAGTACAAAATAGCTGAACAGAGACAGCAACCAGGATAGCACCTCCTAGTGAGTCCCAGCTTACAGGGCGGTAGTTGGAGACAACAGCCTACTCACTACACCAACCTCAAATGTTTGATACACCTAGGAATGTGACTTTGCCTGCTTCCTAGAATAATTGGTTTGTCATTTAACCAACTGCCCTGGCTGGCGCACTATGCTCTGACATGCACTCTTAGAAAAACGGGTTCCAAAAGGGTTCTTCGGCTGTCCACATAGGAGAACCCTTTTTGGTTTGATGATATGTGTCCTAGCCTACCACGCAAAGGCACTATGGATTTATTTTCCCCTGGTTGACACAGACATGCTCAGGAAAGTGATATCACAACTTAAGCCTTCTACCTGCCTTCTCGATCCTATCCCCACCACCTTCAAAACAGTTTTTAATTGCATATCTGAAGAAGTGCAAGCTATTGTTAAATCACTCCCTGTTCACAGGCACTTTCCCCACTGCACTAAAAACTGCTGTGGTGAAACCCCTTCTGAAGAAAAGTGCCAACTGTATTTTTTAAAAATTCCAATCTGGTTTCCGGGCCCACCACAGCACAGAGACAGCCTTAGTTAAAGTGGTAAATTATCTTAGAGCTAACACAGATGCCAAACAGCTCTCTGTCCTTGGATTTAAGTGCTGCATTCGACACCGTTGACCATGATGTCCTTCTGGACAGACTGGAGAGGTGGGTTGGCCTCTCTGGTCCAGTTCTAAATTGGTTAAGGACCCATTTAACTGGTTGAGAGTTTTTTGTCACCCTTGGTGAACATTACTCAGAGAAAATACATATCACATGTGGCATTCCACAAGGTTCGATTTTGGGTCCGGTACTGTTCAGTTTATATATGTTACCCCTTGGCAGTGTTATCAGTAAGCACAGCATTGATTTTCACTGCTACGCAGACTATACACAACTTTACATTTCTGTGTCACCAGAGGATTTTAGCTCCATGGATAAATTATTAGACTGTATTAGTGTTTTAAATACTTGAATGGCGCACAACGTCCTCCAGCTAAATCAAGACAAGACCGAGGTACTTATTGTTGGAGCCAAAGCACAGAGAGAGAATCTGGCCGCACATTTTAATTCACTGTTACGCGGAGTGGAACCCAAGATCAGACTCAGACGAGGAGACTGGGATGAAGTAACCAAGGTATTTATTGAAACACAGGGGGAAGATGGAGTGCAGGTCAGGGGAAATCCCATAAGAGGGAGGGGTCCAGAATGTGACGGCGGGGCCCCCAGCAGCGCTCCTCAGGCCTGTATCCCTCCCAGTCCACCAGGTACCGCAAGACATGACGGCGCACGTCTAGAAGCCGCCGGACAGTATAGGCAGGATGGTCATCGATGAGCCAAGGGGGTGGAGGAGCTGCTGCAGGAGGAGACAGGGGACTGGAGGAGACAGGTTTAATTAGGGATACGTGGAAGGTAGGATGGATCCTGAGAGAGGCTGGGAGTTTCAGGCGCACCGCAGAGGGGTTAAAGGGACCAATGATCAATCTCAAAGGGACCAATGACTCGGGGGGGGGATTATTTTTCGATGCCACCTTCAATGGCAGGTCCTTCGATGAGAGCCATACCTTTTGACCCAGGGTGTAGGCTGGAGCTGAGGCCCGTCGACGGTTGGCTTGGGACTGGGTCCTGTCGGAGGCACGAAGAAGGGCAGTCCGGGCCTTCCTCCAGGTACGGTGACAACGGTGCAGATGGTCCTGGACAGAAGGAACCGCAACCTCAACCTCTTGGGTGGGGAACATGGAGGGTTGATAACCCAGAGCACACTCGAAGGGTGACATACCTGACGAGGCGTTGGTGAGGGTGTTGTGGGCATATTCAACCCAGGGTAGCTGAGCGGTCCAGGAGGAAGTGTTAGCAAAAGTCACGCAGCGTAGGGCAGTCTCCATCTCTTGGTTGTCTCGTTTGGTCTGGCCGTTGGTCTGGGGGTGATATCCAGAAGAAAGACTGACATTGATACCAAGAGCTGAACAGAAGGATCTCCATACCTGGGAGGTAAACTGGGGTCCTCTGTCGGAAACGATGTCAGTGGGGATGCCATGCAGACGAAACACATGGGTTACTAACAGGTCCGCATTCTCCCTGGAGTACGGGAGCTTGGAGAGGGGAATGAAATGAGCCATTTTGGAAAACCTGTCAATAATGGTGAGGATAATGAGTTACCGTTAGATGGGGGAAGGCCAGTGATGAAGTCCAGAGCTATGTGTGACCAGGGGCGACTGGGTATGGGAAGAGGGCGGAGCAGACCGGAAGTGGGTTTAGTGGAGGTTTTATTCCGGGAACAAACCGAACAGGCTGAGAAACTCCCGGACATCTCTCTCCATGGTGGGCCACCAAAAGCGCTGACGCAGGAAGGCGAGGGTCCGGTTCATACCAGGGTGACAGGTGAGGTGGGTAGAATGGCCCCACTGAAGAACATCAGAGCAAACACAATCTGGGACAAACAGAGCATTACTAGGACTGTTACCCAGGTCAGGCTGGTTCTGCTGAGCCTGGCGGATACGGGACTCGATCTCCCAGGTGACGGCGGCAACGATGCAGGTGGATGGCACAATGGCTTCTCGGTACCCGTGTTGTCGGTGGTGAACTGGCGAGAGAGGGCATCAGGCTTGGTATTCTTCGAACCGGGGCGATAAGTGAGTGTGAAATTGAATCTACCGAAGAACAAGGCCAACCTGGCTTGCCGGGAGTTCAGACGTTTGGCGGTCTGGATGTAGAACAGGTTTTTATGGTCAGTCCACATGATGAAGGGGGTTACAGAGCCCTCCAGCCAGTGACACCATTCCTCCAGAGCCAGCTTAGCTGCCAGGAGTTCCCGGTTTCCGGTGTCAAAATTCCTCTCTGAAGGTGAAAGCTTACGGGAAAAGAATGCAAATGGGTGGACCTTCTGATCAGAGGGGGAACGTTGAGACAGAACAGCACCTACCCCGGTGTCAGAGGCATCTACCTGCACGATGAACTGGAGTTCTGGGTCGGGCTGAGTAAGGACCGGAGCGGAGGTGAAGCGATGCTTGAGTTCCAGGAATGCTGCCTCGGCCTCAGGAGTCCAGTGGAACGGAGTGGAGGTGGAGGTGAGAGTGGTGAGAGGTGCTGCCAGACGGCTGTAGTTGCGGATGAAATGTGCAAACCCCAGGAAACGCTGTAGCTGCTTCAGGTTGGAGGGCGCAGGCCACTATGTGACTGCCATGACCTTGGCGGGGTCCATTCGTAACTGTCCCTGTGCAATAATATAACCCAGGAAAGACACTGTGGCAGCATGGAACTCACATTTTCCAGCTTTAACAAAAAGCTTATTCTCCAACAGCTGTTGAAGAACTTCGCGAACGTATTGCTGGTGAGCCTCAGGGTACTTGGAAAACACTGTGGCACCATGGAGGGGGGCAAAAGCAGAGCTGATGAGTGGCAAGGGGTACTTGTTCTTAACAGTGATATTATTCAGCCCACGGAAGTCTATGCACGGCCTCAGTGACCCATCCTTCTTCACAAAGAAAAACCCAGCA